TCCACCATGCAAAAGAGTATGCGTCGAAAACTCATAAGGCTCTCGAGTAGGTAATATTGTAACCACCCGTGGACCCATTCCACGTAATAACATCTAGGAGCTCTACTCCACCGAATCCCCACAGCCATGGCAGTTTTAATGATGTTGGCCGATATCGAAAAAAGCAAGAGGTCGCAATCGTGAATATCACTAGTGTCCTAACCACATATAACAACCTGTGGTCTTACCACATAATCATAGACTATGGCCCCAGCCATGTCTAATAGCCTATCGGCAGTTCAAAGATTCTCCAACTAGAGCTCACTTGTACACAAGGATCACACTTAACCGAAGTGACAGTCGACCTACTCTCGATGCTCTCAGTTTGTCAAAACCGTTTTCAAAACCAAATCGGGTTTTTCAAGGCATTTCCTTTAAATCATTTGAAATCAGGGCTTGATACCCTTTTAAATTACCTTTCAAGTTAAGTGGCATGGTGTAAACACTTGTATAAAGATCGAAATTAAACCAAATCTCAAAACTTGCATTTCAAATCATTTTGCAAATACATTTAGCTATGCATATCACACAAAAACACAAGGCATAGATTTTGAAGCAAATATCATGAAAGGCTTGTTTTCGAGTTTTTTAAAACTTTTTACATATATGGTTTATCTATAGTTATATCCAAAACTCCTTTCAAAATGGTTTCATCCATAAACTTCCTACAATTTCTACCAGCTCATGCTTTCCACAATAGCAATATACAAATCATTGTAAATCCATTTTTAGAAAAATACCCTATCGAGGCTAACAGTTCATGCTATCCACAATGCATTGGAGAAAAAAATCAATGCTTATTAATGTAAAATAATATATACAGTGCGAAAATTTTAAAATCGGCACCCCATACTCACCTTACAATAGCGGGACGCTACATCGCTATTGATTTGGGCGCTTGCCTAGCTAATTCCACTCGCCGGTTAACCGTTACCTTCTTTGGCACGCCACCATAGCACACTTTCTTACTTATTTTCTCTCTAACATCCATTCAAACCCAATTTGTTTAATTATTCTCATAAATAGCAGCATATCAACCAACAGTCCTTAACTAAATCTCATAGTTTTACCAACAATACGTACAAACATTATGACAAAATTCATACGTTTTAATCAACCAAAGCTTATACCACACAATATAATCACTTTGCATGCTTACCTCTCGATTTAAGATTGAATTTCCCGAATGTGATTCACAACTTCTTCACTTCTAAGATTACCTTTGCTGCCACAACCACA